GGGGGGAGACGAGCCGGGGACGAGTCTGGCGGAGGGAAAACAGGGCCGTAGACAGGAAGAGGAGGAGACGGTCGGGGAGGAACCGACGCAGGGTCGGGGGACGGAAGGCCGAGCAGGCGAAGGGCGGACACCGGCGGGGACCGCTGCTGCGGCGGCACAACGGCGACACCTGGACCGCAAGCTGCTCCTCGGCGACCACCGGCACTCTCCACACCAGCACCCCCAGAGGGACCACCCCCAAGGCGACCGGGACGAGCACCCCCAGAGTCGGCGAACGGGGGCTGCGACGGCGGCGGCGGCGGCGGCGGAGGCGACGGCGGCGGCGGCGGCGGCGGCGACGACGACGGCTGCAGCAGCGGTAGGGGCGGTGGAGGAGGGGACTGGGGAGGGGACACCTGGGGAGGGGCGGCCGGCGAGGACTGCACAGGAGGGCCACCAGAGGCAGAAGACTCCTCAATCGGGTCCACGGACGGAAGGGGGGTGACGTGGGACACACCAGAGGGGGCGGGACGGGGAGGAGGAGGAGGAGGGGCAGGGACCACCGGGGAAGGGGTGACCAGGAACAGGGGGGGGTAACCGGGGGACCACGGTGGGGAAAGCGGCGGTAGTAGGAGGCGGACTCGTCAAAGGTGACGTCACGAGAGTGAAAGAAGCGGTGAGACGGCGGGTGGTAAAAGTGCTAGTCGGACGCGTCAAGGGGAAAACCAAGGAAGACGCAGGGAAGGGTGCGGGCAGTGAGCTTGTCCGTGCCGGAGGCACGGACGTGAGCAAGGCAGCCCCAGACGTGGAACGCAGACGCGTCACCAGGGGACCCAGTCCAAAGACGGGTCGGCGAAACCTGCGGCTGATGAGGGTGCGGCCACAGGTTAAGCTGGTGAGAAGCGTAGCGCACAGCGAACGGCCACAGAAAATGGGGTGCACCGGCATGGATCATGGAGGTGCGAGCGACCTCCATGACCAAACCGATGCGTCGCTCAGCGACCCCATTCTGCTGTGGGGAGTCCGGTAGGGTGAACGTCTGGGTGATGCCCTCCGCACGACAAAAGCGACCAAGGACACCGGAGGCAAACTCGCCACCACGGTCGGAGTGAAGACGCAAGACAGGGAGACCGTGGTGGACACGCGCAGAGACAAGCCAGGGGATGAGAGCGCCAGGCACGTCGGCCTTGCGCTCCAGGGGAAAGACGGTGGTGTAACGAGTGAAGTCGTCGACAAGCACAAGGAAGTAGCGCTCTCGACGCGGCCCAGGGACAAGGGCGGGGCCCCAGACGTCCAGGTGCAGGGTCTGCAGCGGCGCGGCGGTAGGGGGAAACGAGGAGGAGTGAGGGGCACGGCGAAGCCGACCCTCGACACAAGGCGTGCAAGGTGGGGCTGGAGAGGAGGGAAACGCGGGGAGCGAACCTGGGAGACCAAGGACGAGACCGTGCTGAGACATGTGACGCAGACGCGGGAGCGCAGGGTGACCTAGGCGGTGGTGCCACAGGAGGGTCGGGTGAGTGAGGGAGCGACAGGAGCAGGCAGCAGCAACCTGGGTAGACGCAGCCACCTGAGGGGGCGCTCCAGCCGGGGGGGTCACGGTGTCCAGAGTGAACAGGCCGGACACCGGGTCCCGGGGGAACGTGGACAGGGGGGCACCAGTGGCGGCCTCGGTACAGACAGCATACCGCTCGTGACCAGGGAACGTAGTGGTGACGCCAAGGTCCTGGAGGCAGCCGACACCAACTAGGTTCCTGGAGAACGAGGGGATATGCAGACCTGTAAGAGAACCCGAAGGAACCGCCGGACAGGGAAGGGTGGTGGAACAGCGGGCGACTACCGGACCGCCGGAGGGGTCAGCAAGAGAAACGGCAGCAGGAACAGGAAGCGGCGTCAGGGTGGTGGAGTCGCGGAAGAAACACCGAGAGGCGCCAGAGTCCAAGGTGAAGGAAAGCGAAGCCGAGGGGTCTGGCGACGGAACGACGGCGGAAGCACCAAGGCTACACAAAGCAGGGGATCCTACGCCTGACGCAGCAGGGGAGGCTAAGCTAGGCACACATACACTAGGCAACAGTGAGTAATAAGCGGGAAGCACACTAGAGTCATCAGCATACATCACATGCAGAGCCGAAACAATGGCATCCATGTCCATATCAAAAATCTGAATCTGACGACTAAGCAAACTGTGCCAGTCCGGGAGGTCTGGCGACGGGCCGAAGTGTGACGAAAGAGGTCGTCCAGGCGACGAAAACAGCGGGGAGTGGAGTGACCGAGCTTACCGCAAACGAAGCCGCGGCGAGGACCGGTCTGGATCTGGTACTGACAACGCCCGCCGCCAGAGCCACCACGCGGCACACCACCATGCGCCCGGCCACCGCCAGCGCCGGGCCACCCTGGCGGGAGGACACTCGTCTGCCGCGTCTGCGACGGCTGCTGCGGCTGCTGCGAAGGCTGCGACTGCGGCGGCTGCTGCGGCTGCTGCACCTGCAGGGGCGGCGACTCAGCTGAACTGGGCAGGGTCCCCTCGTCCACTCCAGCACCAGGCGACCCGACCCCACCACTACCCCCGCCCGCACCCCCGCCGCCTCCTCCGCCGCGCCCAGCCTTGGGGCGGCGGCCCTTCCCCGAACGGACCTGCGCTGCAGCAGCTGTCTCAGCCACTGCGGCAGAGCCGTCGGAGAAGGTGCACTGAGCGGGGGCACAACCCTGAAAGATAGGGACCGGCACGACACCGCTCGCCTGGGCGATGGAGCGGTGACGGGTCTCTATCACAGTCAGGGTGTCTACAAAGTCAGTGAGGGTGAGGTCTGCGGGGTGAACACTAAGAAAGCGGTCGCGGGCGACAGCAAGGCGGTCAGGGAGGCGGGTGGCAAGCAGGTAGAGGGTAGAGGTAATGGGCGGCTGGTGGGCTCTAAGTTGGGCGTCAGTGCAGGCAGCGCGCCAGGTCTCATCTATTAGCGCAGGTGGGCAGCGAGGTCAGAGACAGTGGGGAAAGATGCAAGGTCAGGAAAGAGCATCGGAAGGATCAGGCGACCCACCGAGGCAGCCGGAGGGGTGGAATAGCGCTTGATCACAGCATCTAAGTATGCCTGAGTAGTAGTGAGGGATCTAAAGCGAGGACGCTCCGATGGGGGAAGGGCGTTGCTAATGGCAAGCTGGGCAACAGCATCGCGAGAAAGCCAGACAGAGCGCGCACGGGCAGTGGCAGCAGTAGCCTCACGCTCAGTGGGTGTGGGGTCAGCGGGCAGAATAGCAGGGGGGTCTGGGCAGGGGAGCGTACCGTCAAGGTGTGCGGAAAGCGGTTCACCATCTTGCCGCTGGCCAGTGAGTTGACGGCGGAGGTCAGCAAGCCACGCCTCGAACTCTAGGGGCTGGCCTTCAGCGTCGAAGCGAAGCTCCGCCGCCATCAGGAACAGTCCAGTGCAGTGCAGGGCAGTGCAGTGCGGTGCAGTGCGGTGCAGTGCGATGCAGTGCGGTGCAGTGCGGTACAGTGCGGTGCAGTGCGGTGCAGTGCGGTACAGTGCGGTGCCAGGCAGTACAGTGTGGTGCGGGGCGGCACGGAGCAGGGCGGGGTGGGGGGGAACCGTACCAGTGAGGAGGACGGGGCCGGGGCTGGCCCAACGGGGCCGGGCGGGCGCGACGGGGCCGGGCTGGTGCGACAGGGTCGGGACGGGGCGACGGGGCCGAGCGGGCGCGACGGGGCCGGGCTGGGGCGACGGGGCTGGGCGAGTGCGGCAGAGCCGGGCCGGTGCTACGGGGCCGGGCGAGCGGGACGGCGACCGGGCGGCTGCGACGGGGCCGGGCGGCTGCGACGGGGCCGGGCAAGGGCGACGGGGCCAGGCGGCTGCGACGGGGCCAGGCGGGCGCGACGGGGCCAGGCGGCTGCGACGGGGCCGGGCAGGCGCGACGGCGCCGGGCGGGCGCGACAGGGCCGGGCGGCTGGGACGGCGCCGGGCGGGCGCGACGGGGCCTGGCGGCTGCGACGGGGTCGGGCAGGGTGCGACGTGGCCCAGGAGGGGCGTGACAGAGCCCAGGAGGGGCGCTACGGGGCCTGGGCGGAGCGCGGCGCGGCCCAGGAGGGGCGCTAGGGGGCCAGGGAGGAGCGCGACGGGGCGCTACGGGGCCTGGGAGGAGCGCGACGGGGCCCAGGAGGGGCGCTAGGGGGCCTGAGAGGAGCGCGACGGGGCCTGGGAGGGGCGCGACGGGGCCTGGGAGGGGCGTTACAGGGCCCAGGAAGGGCGCTACGAAGCCCAGGAGGGGCGCGACGAGGCCCAGGAGGGGCGCTACGGGGCCCAGGAGGGGCGTGACGGGGCGCTACGGGGCCTGGGAGGAGCGCGACGGGGCCCAGGAGGGGCGCTAGGGGGCCTGGGAGGAGCGCGACGGGGCCTGGGAGGGGCGCGACGGGGCCTGGGAGGGGCGTTACAGGGCCCAGGAGGGGCGCTACGAAGCCCAGGAGGGGCGCGACGAGGCCCAGGAGGGGCGCTACGGGGCCCAGGAGGGGCGCGACGGGGCGCTACGGTGCCTGGGAGGAGCGCGGCGGGGCCCAGGAAGGGCGCTAGGGGGCCTGGGAGGAGCGCGACGGGGCCTGGGAGGGGCGCTAGGGGGCCTGAGAGGAGCGCGACGGGGCCCAGGAGGGGCGCTAGGGGGCATGAGCGGAAGCGGTAGGTGGGGGGGGATCCTACCTACGCGTGATACCATATCATAATTGAAAATTGAATTGATGGTAAAGTGAGAGTACACACAAATATACCTAAGTGTTGTACCCTCTAAGAGGTAACCCTATACAGTCTATACAAACATGACAAATGCAGATGTTTGACAACTTCTACTGACCATTCGTGGAACTTTTTTCTTGCAGTTTCTGACTAACGATGGAACCCGACTGATTAAACATGTTACAAACTCGCTAATTCTGATTGTTTATATCGTGTCACTGACCGTACATGTTATCGAGGCCCCTAATACTGAATGCCGGTATACTTTCCCTTGTTATGTTACATTCACTCTGATAGGGTTCATCGAACCAATCAATCGCTTCCGCAAAGCGCATTACTGCAGTTCAATCCTGTACATCCTACGGTCCATATTGGATCGCTTCATGCACTCACAAAACTTCTTGATATATGACACTCCTTCCCTGGACAAAGCAACATGTTCACTCCTCGCACCAACCCTTTTACTGGGGCTGAGTGCCCACCATCTAAACTAACCCTGCATCCATCCTATCCCTCTTCAAGTTGTTTCCGAAGCCATGGCTCGGCCCAGCCTGCAAAGCTACTATCCTGTTCTGAGCTTCTGAAGTGAGATGCACGCCAAGCAGCAATTCCCATAGAAGTGTGAATCCTCCCCGGGTTGATTCCTCCGTCCTCCCCTCCCCTCCCCCAACCCCTTCCCCCTCCTACCACCCTCCTCTCCCCCACCCCCAACACCCCCTCATTCACTAAAAGCAATGTGTGTAAACTACAAGCAACAAGCACCAGGGGAACATCCCTGAATAGTCCCCTATGAGAGGAAACCGCTGCCTGTGTGTTGCAGCCACACCCCTCTCACAAGCAGGGCGACGGACTCTGAGTCACACAGTCACACCTCCCTCACTACAAGCCACCGCCTGTGTGTTGCAGCTGAACCTGCATCCGCACACTCCATGCGAGTGACTTCACATCCTCGCCATCTCTGTCCTTCCCTTCACATTCACCATCCCTCTCCTAAGCAGCTACACTATGAGTCACACGGTCAAACCCCCTTCACTGGAGACGGCTGCCTGCGCCCCTTCTGCTGCCACCCAAGTCAGCACTCAGGGCGCCCTGAGCCGCCTCACCCTACCTGAGTCTGGCACTCCGAGTGTCCGTCCCAGCAGCAGCGGTGAACAGTTTCGGTTGCTGCCCCTGCCAGCCAGTACCCCTGCCTGCCAACACTCTCGAGGAGCGTCATTCTATCCAACGCCAGCACTCGGGGCGCCCAGAGGCGCCTCAGCCTACCTGAGGCCGGCACTCAGAGTGTCCGTCCCAGCAGCGGTGTGGCGGTTACCATTGCCGCCACTGTCAGAACCCCCGTCCGCTGTTGATACTGCTGCCGGGCCTTCACTGCCCCCTGGTCGGTCCAGGCCAGGCGCACCCTCGCCCCGTCTGCTGCTGCTGCCCCCGCCCCTGCTGTCTTCCACGGGAGCTTCTCTTGACCCGACTGTGGCCATCGCTTCAGATACCCCCTCTGCTGTCCTCGTGCACCCTCCCCCTACCCCTCCCCCTCCTCCTCCTGCTGCTGCTTTCCCACCTCCTGCTGCTGACTTCCCTCCCTTCCTCAGCTCCCCTTCCCCTGCTGCGCCCACCATTATCCCCCCCTCCCCTTGCTTTTTACTGCCTGCCCTCCCTCCTTTGCTGTCCCTCGCTTCACCCCTGCTCCCTCCCAGTCCCCTTGCCACACCTTCCCTTAGGCTACCGCCAGCAGCAGCACCACCACCACCAGAAGGGCCAGCACCAGCCGCACCATCAACATCAGCACCAGCGGCAGCACCAGCACCACCAGAAGCAGCATCAACAGAAGCAACACCAGTAACCCCAACTCCACCACTACCACCACCACCATCAACCCCAGCAGCAGCAGCAGCACCAGCAGCAGCACTCCCACCAGCACCAGCAGCACCAGCAGCACCGCGAGTCCGAGCCTCAGCAGCAGCAGGGGACGAACTGGCGTGGTCGAGGCAGTGGCGGCGCCAGAGCGAGCGGTAGGTGGCCTCAAGGTCGCGTGTGAAAGCCGGCCCGTCGCAGAGGCGGGACGAGAGCATGCGGGGTCGCATGGAGGCGCGGAGCGAGGCCAGCTGAGGGATGTCTGAGGCCAGCTGCGTGGCTATGGCTACATACTCGTCCTCGTTCCGAGCCACCAGGTTGGGCAGACCTGGAGGACGGGGTGGGGGGAGGGGAGGAGGGGAGGGGGGAGGGATGGGGCAAGAGGATGCAAATGGTGAATATGCATGCGGGGGGGGGGCCAGTGGCAGCGCCAGAGCGAGCGGTAGGTGGCTTCAAGGTCGCGCGTGAAAGCCGGCCTGTCACACAGGCGGGAGGAGAGCATGCGGGGCTGCATCGAGGCACGGAGAGAAGCTAGCTGAGGGATGTCTGATGCCAGATGCGTGGCTATGGCTACATTCTCATCTTCGTTCCGAGCCACGAGGTTGGGCGGGCTGGAAGGACGGGGGGGGGGAAAGAGAGAGGAGAGAACAAGAGGATGCTAAGGGTGAAGAAGGATGCAGGTGGGGAGAGGCAGTGGCAGAGCCAGAGCCGTTGCAGAGGAGGGACGAGCGCACGTGCTGGAGGCATGGAGAGAAACACACAGAGTGGGGGAGGCATGGAAGAATGGAGACATGGAGGCATGGAGCATGGAGGCACGGAGGCATGGAGGTATGGAGGCATGGAGGTATGGAGGCATGGAGGTATGGGGGCGTGGAGGCACGGAGGCATGGAGGCACGGAGGCATGGGGGCATGGAGGCCCGGAGGCATGGAGGCATGGAGGCATGGAGGCATGGAGGCATGGAGGCACGGAGGCACGGAGGCCTGTGGGCGCCGAGGCACGGAGGCATGGAGGCACGGAGGCATGGAGGCATGGAGGCACGGAGGCATGCAGGCACGGAGAGAAACGCCAGGTCCGGCTCGCGTGCACCGCCCCCCGAATGGTGACACACGGCACGCGGCACGCCCATGGTGACACACGGCACGCCCATGGTGACGCAGGCCACGCCCATGATGACACACGGCACGCCCGTGGTGACACATGGCACGCCCATGGTGACACACGGCACGCCCATGGTGACACACGGCACGCCCATGGTGACACACGGCACGCCCATGGTGACACATGGCACGCCCATGATGACACTCGGCACGCCCATGAACGGCGAATCGAAGGTTGTGGTCGTCCCAGCCCAAGGAAAAGTGTCCATAAGAGCATAGCTCTGCATGTGGCCGTGGTTCAGCAGCACCAGCGGCAGCAGGTCCACATGCCTTAGACGCCCCTACATACCAACCCTCACACCCACCCACACCACACCCACACACACCACACCCACACCACACCCACACACACACCACACCCACACCACACCCACACCACACCCGCACCACTCCCAGCCCTACAGGAACTTACCCATGTTTGTCAGAAGAGACACGCCCACGTTGTTCGCGTGCACCCTTCCCCCCATCGTGACACAGGGGACCCCCATAAAGAGCGATTCACAGGTTGTTGTAGTCCCCGCATAGGGGAAGGTGTCCAGGCTGATGTCCATGAGCGCGTAGCTCTGCATGTGGTCGTGGTTCAGCAGCACCAGCGGCAGTAGGTCCACGCGCAGGGGGCTCACGCCCTGGGCTTCTAGCTGCGCCATCAGCTGCTGGCTGATGGACGCGCATGTGAACGGCTTGCACTTGAGCATTAACCGAGAGCCGGGGACGGCGAGAAGGATGCGAGCCCACAACCGGACTACCGCGGGTGTTATCTGGTAGGAAGGAGGGTTTCGAGTTTAGTGCGGAGAGGGAGGGGGGTAAAGAGGCAGTGAGAGGAACGAAGGTGAGGGGAGACGGTGGCAGCAGCAGCACCACCAGCAGCAGGGGCAGTAGCACGAGCGGCAGCAGGTCCACGCGCAAGGGGCTGACGCCCTGCGTCTACAGCTGAGCCATGAGCTGCTGGCTGATGGACGCACATGTGAACGGCTTGCACTTGAGCATCAGCCGGGGATGGCGAGGAGAATGCGGGCCCACAGCCGTAACCAAGTGCACTCTACCTTTGCAAGGGGACACGTGCGAGGCACGAGGCAAATCCCAGCACCCACCTTCGACAGGCTGAAGAAGCTGCCAAACGTCACAAAGCCATTGGCCACAGCATCTGACATGAGCACACCATACATTCGCAACCTTTTCTGTTTGTGCTGTTACCTGTGCATGGTGATCGCGACTGCCCAATGCTACATAGCCAGTACCAGTGCACACTGTACCTTCGCCAGGTTGTTGAAGCTGCCAAATGTCACGAAGCCATTGGCCACGGCGGGTGAGGGGCACACAGGGCCGGCTTCGGACGAGGGTGTGTAGCAGAGGAAGCATCCTGGAAGGCGTACCAACTCCTCCACATGCCTGTGAGGGGAAGCAGGAGAGAGGGAACGAACGGGTGGCGGGGGGGGAGGGGGGAGGGGGGAGGGGGGAGGGGGGAGGGGAGGGGGGAGGGGAGGGGAGGGGAGGGGAGGGGGAAGTCTAGTTTTGAGGCGCCTCAGAACGAACGGTTGGCGGGGGGGGGAGGGGGGAGGGGAGACGAGAAGTGTGTTGGAGGTGTTTTGCTACAGGCATCTCAGAGGAAAGCAGAAGCAAGCAGCCCCCCTGCGGTACGTTTGCCACATGCCCCCCCTTACCTCTGCTTTTTGCACGGAGGATCGGCCAGAGCGTCGGTGATGCGGTGGTCAATAACCAATGGCCCTAAGCCACGAGGTGTCGGGGCATCCGATCCACGTGGCCTGGACGGGCGCTGCCTTGCACCCCCCAGCCGGTTGTTGGGGTTTGAACTTTGAATCCACACCTTGTTCGCTACACCCGCAACCTCTGCTTGTTGCGCGGAGGATCGACTAGAGCGTGGGTGATGCGGTGGTCAATGACTTCGAGCCCCGTGGTGTGAGTCGGGGTATCCCATCCTCGTCGCCTGGATGGCTTACGGCCAGCTTCAGAGACACTCACAGGCGATGTCACATGAATGCTTCAGAGACACTCACACCGCATTCATCCACCCACCAGCAGTGGGGACGGGCCCTACCTCTGCTTGTTGCTCGGAGGGTCAGCCAGAGCGTCGGTGACCCGGTAGTCAATCGCCCTTAGCCCCGTGGTGTTGGGGTATCCGATCCACGTCGCCTGAATGGGCGCAGCTTTGCACGCCATCACGCCCAGCCGGTTGTTGGCCGTGTGGCCTGTGAGCTCCACCAGTATGTCCACCCCGTCCTCCCGCACCATCGCCGCCACCCGCCTCTCGTCCACGCCGAATATGTCCCGCCACACCCCGCCCTTACTCTGCACCATCTCCTTGAAGCGGCTTGTTTTCCCATCAGCCTGCAGGGGCAAAGGGCGGGGGGGGACAGGGGGCGAAGGCGGGGCAGGCGGGGGAGAGAGGGGATAAGATTTGGGATACAGAGCGAGGTGGGGTTGTTGGCCATGTGGCCGGTGAGCTCCACCAGTATGTCCATCCCCTCCTCCCGCACCATCGCCGCCACTCGCCTCTCGTCCACGCCGAATATGTCCCGCCACACGCCGCCCTTACTGTGCACCATCTCCTTGAACCGGCTCGTCTTGCCATGCCATCCGCCTGAGGGTGAAGTGCATGGGCAGGGGAGGGGAAGGGGGCGGTTTGGGATACAGAGCGAGGAGGTGTTGTTGGCTGTGTGGCCGGTGAGCTGAGCTCTACTAGAATATCTACCCCCCGCACCATCGCTTTCACCCGCCTCTCCACCCCGAATATATCCCCCCCCACACGCCGCCCTTGGATCGAACCATTTCCTTGAACCAGCTCGTCTTGCCGTCCGCCTGTGGGTGAAAGGCGGGGAAGTGGAGGGGAACACAGGGGCAGGCAGAGCAGGGGCAGAGGGAGAGAGAGTTGCTTGCCCGTGTGGGCTGTCAGCTCCACCAGAATAGCCGCCCCATCATCCTCCCGCACCATAGCAGCCAGCCACAGGCCTCATGTCCACCCCAAAGATATCCTGCCACACGAAGCCTTTATTCCGCCCCATCTCCTTGAACCGGCTCGCCTTGCCGCCCGCTTGTGGGATGACTGGGGTGCATGGGGTGCATGGGGTGCATGGGGTGCATGGGGTGCATGGGGTGCATGGGGGCAAAAGAATGGCCTATGAGCTGAACCAGTGTAACCACTCCACCCGCTCACAGACCAAAACGACTTCAATGAACATCAAGGGCGCCTCAGTGAAGCAATCCGAGTCCGGAAAGATCCACCCCGCCACTCCAACCACTCCATCCACTCCAACCACTCCATCCACTACGCCCCTTGACTCCCCTTGACTCGCAGTGACTCGCAATGGCTCACCTTGACTTGACAACATCGTAGGCAGCAGCTCACCTTGACTACAGCAGAGTAGACCACCACTTTGACCACATTGGGATGATGGTAGGTCAGGGGCGCCTCAGTGAAGTAGGACACGGAGTGGGTGAAGTAGTCCAGGGAGATGCACCCCACCACTCCAGGCACCACATGGGAAAAATTTGGATTCGACCTGCAGCAAGCCTCCTAAGAGTAGATCTAGGACTAGAACTAAGAGTAACGGCGAGAAAGGTAAGAGATTTTTTTCTTAGTCAGAACGCCAGACACAATAGGCCCGGATGTCGCATGCGAACGCGTTTCGGCCAGCAATAGGCCTTCATCAGCAGGGATGTACCCCACCACTCCAGGGAGATGTACCCCACCACTCCAGGGAGATGTACCCCACCACTCCAGGCACCACTCCAAGCACCAACAGCATTGTAAGCAGCAGCACCCTTGGCTCACCTTGACCACCGCAGAGTAGACCACCACTTTGACCACATTGGGATCGTGGTAGGTGAGGGGCGCTTCGATGAAATATGACACGGAGTGGGTGAAGTAGTCCGGCGAGATGTACCCCACCACCAGGCGCCGCTCCGGGCGGCACGAGTTGGGCCACGAGGAGAAGCGCGGGAAGAGGCGCGAGAAGCGCTCGCCCCAATCACTGCAGGAGAGGAAGGGAGGACGAGAGAGGGGGAAAGATGCCTCAGTCCGGGTTCGGGCGGCACGAGTTGGGCTGTGAGGAGAAGCGCCAGAAGAGGCGCGAGGAGAGCTCGCCCCAGTCGCTGTGATGCATGAAAAAGGGGGGCGCGATGGGGGGGAGGGGGGGGGGGGGAAGGGGGGTGCGGGGGGGGGGCGGGGGGGGGGGGGGAGGAGTTAGGAGAGGCTTGTGGCAACTCTCAAGTCAAAGGAAGGGAAGGAACAGGAGAAATGGCCACCACTTCCAGCGGTCGAGATCAGTGCTTATGGATGGGGGGTTGGGAGGGGGAGAGGGCTGCGGTCCACACTCGATAATTTTTCTAGGCGCCTCAAAAGCAGTCACCCTTCCACCCACCATTCCACACAACACAATGCACTCCCTCCCCCCATCTCACAGGTGAGCGATGAACAGAGGGTACTGAGCACTGAGCCCTGAGGCCTAACCCCTCCCCTCTCTTCCCTCCTTTCCTCAACCTCCCATTTCCTCCCTCTCACCGGTGAGCCACGAACAGAGAGTCATCCAGCCCCTCGTGAATGTAATTCATTGCCAGCAGACGGTTCTGAGAGAGGGAGGTGGAGGGCGAGTGGGGAAAGCGGGGAGAGCAAGGAGAGCAAGGACAAAGGTTGAGGCGGGAGGGACTAGAGAGTCGTCCAGCCCCTCGTGAATGTAATTCATTGCCAGCAGACAGTTCTCATGGCAGCGGGGGGAAGGAGAGGGTAGGTAGGGGAGCCGGGCTTGAGTGGAAGAGGTGCCAGGAGGGAGTCTGTCAGACCCTAAATAATGGATTCTATTTTTTAGGCGCCTCAAAGGTAGGGGAGCCGGGCTTGAGTGGAAGAGGTGCCAGGAGGGAGTCCGTCAGACCCTAAATAATGTGTTTCAATCAATTCATGGCTAGCACAGCACGGGACCAGCAGACGGTTCTGATGGCAACATGGGGGTTGCCAGAGGGGAGCGAAGTGAGGAGGGATGAGGGTTTGGGTGCTGGCGAACACAGTCTAGTTTAGACAAACACCGCAAAAAGCGTAGGTCCCTGCCGCGAAGCCCCTCACCTGCCCGGCATTTCTTGAGCCAGGGTCGATGGCAATTCACAGCAGGTAGGCCTGCCCGGCCTATCGCCTCACCTGCCCGGCATTTCTCGAGTCGGGGTCGATGGCAAGGCACTGCTGGTAGGCCTCTATGGCCGCTGGGATGTTGCCCGCGTCTCTGTGCAGCACGCCTGGGAAAGGAGGTGGTGGGAAGATGAGAACCGGGGATGGACGGAGAGAGTGGGATGCCAAGGCACTGCTGGTAGGCCTCTATGGCCGCTGGGATGTTACGCGCCCGCGTCTCTGTGCAATATACCTGGAAGGATAGAAAAGCGGAAGCATGGGGAGGAAGGGGAGGAGTACACTGAGAGAGAGGGCGGAGGGCGGATGACAGGCGGCAAGAGGAGACGGAAGCAGTTGCAATGGCATTCCAACCGAACATCTCAACAGCTCAGCACCATTGCACGCCAATTAAACACTCGCACATCTCAACAGATCACTTGTGCCTTCTCGCCTTGTGCCTTGTGCCTTTTCGCCCTCCGTCCTTACCCAGGTTGTTGTGTGCCTCGGCATAAGCGGGATTGGCGAGAATGGCAGCTTGAATCCCCTTGAGCACTACTGGCCCCTCCTCTACCTTCTCCCCCTTTGCCCCAGTCCCCTCCTCCCCTCCCCCTTACCCAGGTTGTTGTACGCCTCGGCATATGCAGGGTTGGCGAGAATGGCAGCCTGAATCATGTTGAGCGCTAGGTCCATCTTGCCCTTGGGGGGTTAAGAGGGTGCGGGCGAGAGAGCAGGGAGTGGGGGGAGTGGGGGGGAAGGGGAGATGGAGGGGTTAGAGAAACCATGGCAACGTGTGTGAATCCTGTTGTGCGCCAGAGTTATCTTGCTGCTGACGCCGCTGGTAATCACCAAATATACATGCACACACCAACACACACCTGCACTGCACGGTGTACACCACTCCCAGGTTGTTTGATGCGCACGGCCTTATGGTTAGACATGATCAAAACGCGATTGCGATTTAAATCGCATCGCATGCAGGTGCGATGTTTAAAAAAGCGATGCGATTTAAAATCGCATCGCGCTATTTATTTTTCCAAACAAAAAAAAATCGCAAATCGCATTTTACCCGCGATGTATTAAAAAATCGCATGCGATATTTAATTAGATCGCGCAATGCGATTTTAAATCGCATCGAGTTTTAAAACAGAATTAAAAAACACCCCAAAAAAAGAGAAAAAACACATGGCTGCGGGGAAATTGACTCACGGGCAGTCGTAAGCTAGAGTGCAAATAACCAGTGTGGTTTTCGTAGTGGGTTTCAGAGTGGGTTTCAGTGCAATATCGCGCGCGATTTAAAAAAAATCGCATATCGCATTTAAATCGCGTTTTTTTGCGCGATTAAAATGCGATTTAAATTAAATCAAGCGATATTAATTCATCGCATCGCGCGATGATTTAAAAATTTAAAAAAAAAAAAAAAATCGCCATCGCAAAAACGCGATTAAATGCGATGCGATGCGATTTTTTTTGCCCATGTCTACTTATAGTAGCACTCCGAGGGAGCACCTTCTGGTAGCACTCCGAGGGAGCACCTTCTGGTAGCACTCCGAGGGAGCACCTTCTGGTAGCACTCCAAGGGAGCACCTTCTGGTAGCACTCCGAGGGAGCACCTTCTGGTAGCACTCCGAGCCGAGGGAGCACCATTTTGGCACCATGACTTTGTGTGGCAGCAACTGTAAATGTAGAAATTAGAGGGTAGATGCTTGTTTGATGCGCACGGCCTTCTGGTAGCACTCCACCGCCTACTCCAGGTTGATGCTATGACGCACCTGCCTCACGCACTCCTGCTGCTGCTGCTGCTGCGGCTGCTGCTGCTGCTGCTGCTGTTGCTGCTGTTGCTGCTGTTGCTGCTTTGGCTGTTAATCAACCAATAATATCCATGCACACACACCAGCACGGTGCACACCACTCCCAGGTTGTTGAGTGTTTGCGAGAAGCTGGGCTTGATGCGGAGCCCTTCTGGTAGCACTCCGCCACCTTGTCCAGGTTGATGCTGACTGCCTACCTCGCACGCTGTTGCTCGAGCTCCTGCCCTTGCTGCCGCTGCTGCTGCTGCACCTACTGCGTCTCCTGCTGCTTCACCTGCTGCTGCCGCTGCTGCTGCTGCTGCTGCTAATTAGCCACAAGCCACACACGCACCAACACATACCTGCACAGTGTACACCACTCCCAAATTGTTGAGCGACTGCGAGAAGCTGGGCTTGATGCGGAGCGCCTTCTGGTAGCACTCCACCGCCTTGTCGAGGTTGTCCCTGTCCTTGTAGATCACGCCCAGGTTGTTGCACGCCTCGGCGCACTGCGGGTTGAAGTGAAGAGCTAGTTCATACATCACCACCGCCTGGAGTAGCACATATAAGAAGGAGGAGCAGAGGTGGTGCGAAGAGGTGGTACAAAGAGAGCAAAGAGGTCGTGTATATGCAGTTCTAGAGGTGATGCGGTCCTTGTAGATCTCACACACGCGGAATGTTGCAAGCCTCCGCGCACGGCGGGTTGAAGTGCAAGGCCCGCTCGTACATCACCACACCAATGCCTGCAAGCAAGGGAATGGTAGGTAGGGCAGATGGGAAGTGGGATGGGAGGTTTTCCCTAGCCCTGCAGATCACCCCAAAGGGCGAGCAGGCGCACCTGCGTGTGTGCATGCATGCATGAGGGCATGTGCATGCATGTGTTCTCGTCTCACCATGTCGAATTTGATCATCTCCCCATAGGCCACCCCCAGGTTGTACATGGCATCGGCATAGTGCGAGTTGAACAGCAGCACGCGCTTGTGTGTCGGTGTTGGCATGTGTGTGCTTGCGCGCATGTGTGCATGTGTGCCCCTCGTCTCACCATGTCAAACTTGAGCATCTCCCCATACGCCACCCCCAGGTTGTACATGGCATCGGCATAGTGCGAGTTGAACAGCAGTGCGCGCTTGTAGTGCGCCACGCCTGCCGAGATGTCTCCCTCTAGCTTCACCTGTAGAGGGGGGTGGGTGGGTGGGTGGGTGGGTGGGTGGGTGGGTGGGTGGGTGGGTGGGTGGGTGGGTGGGTGGGTGGGTGGGTGGGTGGGTGTACGGGCATGAGAGAGAGACAGAGAGAGGGAGGGAGGATGCGGGAAATGGCTGGGCTTGTAGTGTGCCACGCCTGCTGAGATGTCTCCCTCCAGTTTCATCTGTAGGGGGGGGTGGTGGGGTTGTGTGTGGGTGGGTGGATGGGTATGAGAGACATGGAGAGGGAGGGAGGAGAGAAGGGAAATGGCACGCTTGCATTGCGCCCCGCCGTCCGACATGTCGCCCTCCAGCTTCAACGGATGCAGGTGTGACGCGCCCTGTGGATCAGTTGAAGAATGGAGTTGATCCGGCAGCGCGCATTCAGCCAAATTCTGGCATCAACCCATAACCCATTTCCAGCCTTACCTTGGTGGCTAGTTGAGACAGCATGGTGGTCCTTCCATCCTGTGTGACCTTACACGACACAGCACTTTTCAGCTGCAAAAGAACTGGGTGCGCAGCCTTGCGATTCCTCCCCAACTTGCCTTGGTGCCCTGGGCTGGGTGTGCGACCTTGCGATCACCGTGATGCTCTGCGTGTGGCTTTACCTGGCAGGCAGCATTTACCAGCCTCCCAACTGGGCAGCTTCACCTTACCCACCGTCACCCATGCCTCTTGAGACTTGCGCGCTTACCTTGGTGCCCAGGTCCGTGAGCGCAATGGCCATGTTGTTGCGCGCAATGGTGAAGTTGGGAGCCACAGCTAGACACCTGAGGGGATGGCGGAATGCAGACGGGGAGGGAGGCGGGGGAGGCGAAGGGGGGGAGAAAGGGAGCGGGGGGGATGCAGAGGAGCAGGGGAAAGGGAGAAGGGCAGCAGTGCTTGGAGTGAACTTCATTGCGGTGGTGAGGCTGGCAGCAGGCCACGGACACACGGCTGGTGGGGTAACGCAAGGGGGAGGGGCGAGAGGGGGTCACCACCGTTCGTAGCACATGGTAACTAGAGGCAAGCAATGGCATTCACCCACCCACTGTTCGTAGCAGGCAATAGCGGAGTGTGGATCCCCGCAGTGCTTGTGTATGACGCCCATGTTGCAATGCTGGTTACAACCTGCACTGGTAACCAGAGGCAAGGACCCAGAACACCCCTCCACCCACTGACCGTTCGTAGCACGCAATGGCAGAGTGCAGATCCCCGCAGTTCTTGTATATTACCCCCATGTTGCAATGCGCCTCTGCATACAGCGGCCTCAAGGCCACGGCCTTGTCATAGAACTGCAGGGCTGCTTCATACTGCCCCATCTCCGAGTAGACCACTCCCAGGTTGTAGTAGGCGGGCTGGAGGCGGGGAGGGGCAGACGGAAGGAGTTGGGGAAAAGGGTTGGGGAAAGCGGTTAAGGAGAGGGGCGCGCCTCGGCATACAGCGGCCTCAGAGCCGCCGCCTTGTCGTAAAGCTGCCGCGCTGCCCCATCTCCGAACGGTCCACTCCCATGTTGTAGTAGGCGGGTTGGAGGGTGGGAAGTGAGGGGGGAGAGTGGGGCTTTTGAGTCGACTCTAAAGTCATCTTGTAGTGGTGCCCTATCTCCGAACGGTCCACTCCCATGTTGTAGTAGGTGCGCTGAGGGTGGGAAGTGAGGGGGGAGAGTGGGGCTGCGCGTGCATGCCTCCGCGTCGCCGTAAAACTGCAGCAGTGCCTCGCAACAGTGCCTCGCAGCGGTGCCACCACGTGCCTCGTACTGCGTACAAACTGATTTATGAGTAGACGACCCCCAGATTGGAGTAGGCCACCTGGAGGGAAGCGACTGCACTTCACCGCACTGAACCAAACATCACCCCATCTTCATCTGTGCCTCACCGCGTATCTCTGTCGCCAGCAGCAATGGCTTCATAGTACTTGACAATCCCCTCCTGCTCTGACCGCCCCCCCTACACAGCACAGAGCCACATACCACCACCGCAGATTACCTCATAAAACCGCATCTCACCGCATATTTCTGGTCAGCAGCTATAGCCTCGTAGTACTTGGCAATCCCCTCCGGCTCCGACCCCCCCAGCTTCAGCCGCGTGCCCAAGTCAGCATTACACGGCTTGCTGTGCAACACAGAATCACACACTACCGCATACCACCGCACTAAATCGTGTCTCACCGCGTATCTCTGGTCTGCGGCAATGGCCTCGTAGTACTTGGCAATCCCCTCCTGCACCGACCCCCCCAGCTTCAGCCGCGTGCCCAAGTCAGTCAGCACCACGGCCAGCTGCTCTTGGGCTTCTTTGCACCCTGGGTCCGCCTCTAGTGCCTTCCTGTACGCCTGGGAAATTGGTGCGGGGGCGTGTGGGGAAGAGGGGTTAAGGCACACAGACAGCAGCCTTGTAGCTTCAGCCGCGTGCCCAAGTCAGTCAGCACCGCGGCCAGCTGCTCCTGGCTGTGCCTCCTGCACCTGGGTCCGCCACCAGTGCCTTCCTGTACGCCTTGGGGAGGAGAGAGGGGGGGGTGTGGTTGGGAACGGGCGGGGGGGAGGGGGAGGGAATTGGAGGACGAGAGATGCATAAAATTCATCCACATTCCATCACTCCCCATCCACATTCCCTCACTCCCCATCCACATTCCCTCACTCCTCTGCTTGCTACTCCTATCCCTAACCCATGCAACCAACCATAACCCATGCAACCAACCCATAACCTATGCAACCAACCATAACCCATGCAACCAACCATAACCCATGCAACCAACCCATAACCTTAGTTGGGCACTAACGATTTCTGGAGTTTCGTAATCGTAATATAACGCGATCATTTACGATTTCGCTAACGAACGGTGACTAACGCGTTAGTCCGCGCCGGGCAGGTAAAAAAAATCTCTGAGAAAATTTCTGGTTCATGATGAAAGTTCTCTAGAGAAATCTTTGGGTCAGTCAGCATGCAACTCAGAATTAGGGCAGATCAACGAGATGGGGAGCTAGCAGATTTATACGTCGTGCTAGGGGGTGTTAGTGAGCTGCGACTTAGTAGCTTGTAGGTTTAGAGAGCAGTCGTAGTGCTCGCGGTGAAAGTTAGGAAGGAACGGTAAGATGCGAACCGAGAGAGAGGGATTGGGGGAGGGGGAACGTGTTGTGCAAGGGAGGGCGTGAGATGGGTTGCTAAGGGGGGTAGTTGCGTGGAATGTGTGGAATTCCGCGATTCTTGGTTACATTCTGGAATCCGTGTCGGTGGAATTTCGCGGACCAATAAGAACACGAGATTCCAACCACATTGGAATTCCGCGCGGAGGTTTCATTCCTCCGGACAAGCCTCTGCCGAATTCCTCCAACACGCATTCCGACGTGGAACTCCAGAGTCTTTGGAATTCCAAGTCCTTGGAATGGCGTGTACCAGAAGTACACGAAATTCCAACCACACAAAATTTCGCGTGGGCATTCCATTCGTCGAGAATTTCGCCACGGCGGAATTCCGCCAACAGTAAGTTGATGGAATTCCAACGAATCGAATTCCGCACTGGAATTTCAAACCTCTCGTGCACTCCAGGGAGACTTACGCATAGAATTGCGTGGCGTACAACCCACGCATTTCTGATCCATTTTCAAAATCGCCAAGTCGCCTTCAAACGCCAGAGGACTGAGACGAATCTAAATACCTCGTCATTAGTTTCCTGAAGCCACAGATATCTGCAACCTAAGCTACTTTCACGTCCGACTGCCTCCTAACTTCCCATGGCGTCTACTACTAATGAGCACCCTGTGTGGAAGTACTTTCTCGTGCCTGAAGGTTCCGCATCGAATGCAACTATTAAGAAGTCCTGTAGATTCTGCAATAAACAATGGTCCCTTACCGTTAGTCGAGCGCAGGGGCATATTCTTGGGAACGACCCTAACATTGCCGCATGCAAGAATGCCCCTCCGGAAGCGAAAGAGACTCTACGTAAGGTAGTATCGGAGAAAGCGAGTGGGCAGGAGGCAAAGAGGATAGCCTCCCAACGGACTATGGACGCTTTCACCAAGCAAACAAGTGAAATCGCCAGTAGCAGTGCTGGCGGCTCTACATCCCGCAAGCGGCCCGGGGGACAGCTGACGCTCCAGGAATGTCGTCCCGAAACTGCAGCATTGACAAGCGCGCAACAGGCGGTTGCTACCTTTTTCCACGTTTGTCGTATCCCTCCCAACGTCGCCGAGCACGCCGCTTTCAAGGGCATGTTGCGGAAGGTGTCTGCTGCTGGGATTGGCTTCCCACCACCAGGGCGAAAGCTCATCATGGGACGCCTACTGCAGGATTGCAAGGCTAGCACGGACACAGCCCTGAAACCGGTGAAGGAATCATGGATCTATTTCGGTGTGAGCATTGCGACTGACGGGTGGACGGATCTTTGTAGCCGTCCCCAAATGAATTTTTTGGCGGTGAACACCACAGCGTCGGTCTTCTTGTTCGGCGTGGACTGCGGAACGAAGAAAAAGGGAGGCGATTTCATTGCGGAGCACCTCAAAAGAGCAATCACTATGGTGGGAGCCGGCAATGTCGTGGGGTTGCTAATGGACGGGGCGAGCCCTAACATTAGTGCGGCCAACATCATCAAAGCTACCTACCCGAAGGTGCAGTACATCCGGTGTGCAGCTCACACCCTGAACAATCTAATGAAAGACATCGGGGGGCGGAAGTGGGCGGCACGCATCATCACCAAGGCGCAGGATCTCATCTCCACTCTGAAGAATGCGCAGTGGATCACTGGTCACTTCAGGGAGCAGAATTCTCTCGTGTTGCTGAAACCCGCCGGCACTCGTTTTGGGACAAACTATATTGCACTACAGCGTCTACTCGATGTGCGGAAGGTTCTTGATCAAATGGTGCTTTCTTCAGGGTGGCGTGCTTTTGCGCACGGCAAGGAGCGGATGACCAAGGCACGCGAGACAATCAGGGATGACAAGTTTTGGGCTGGAGTTGAGAAGGTGGTACAGATTTTGAAGCCAATCTACATGCTTCTACGTGCAGTTGATGGAAACCAGGAGGTTATGGGGAGGATCTATGAGATGATGCTCGACTTGGAGGAGTCCACCAAGCAGGCATGCAGCTGCTTGAAGGCGAAAGAACGGCAGTGGGTTGCGGGTGCTGTGCGTCGCCGCTGGAACGAGAACATCAATTGTGCATTGCACGTGGCGGGGCGGATTTTATATCCACCGAACCAATATGAGAAGATATTTGGAGCGGGGGGGGATGCTGAATGCTCGGGAATCTTCAAGCAGTTTATCGCAGACTACTACAAGGGGGAGTACACTGTTGACAAGGATGGGACGAGGGTTTTGATGGCTACAACGGTAGAGAAGGAGATTCTCATCTATGTGAAGGGGGAAGGCGCCATTGGTGAGGCTAAGGCACGTGCCGAGCATGAGCTCATCAAGGCTGGTAAATTGGACCCCACTCATTGGTGGGAGTTCAATGGTCATCAATGTCCCAACCTCTCCAAGCTGGCTTGCAGGATTCTTAAGCAGTGCGTGTCTGCTTCGGCATGCGAGACGAATTGGGGGGTGTGGGAGTCCATCCACACAACCCGACGTAACCGCCTAGGTCCTAAGCGCCTCGAGGATCTAGTGTACGTGACACACAACTACCACACAGTGTGCAAGTTGCATGAGGATTTTGAGAAGCGTTTTCGGAAGGAAGGGCATGCGTCGATTAACATCGACGAGCAGCAGCACGATGACTACGAGCCGCTTGACGACGACGACATTCCAGAGGATGCATACTTTGAGGAGGAGGAGGAGGAGGAGGAGGAGGAGGAGGAGGAGGAGGAGGAGGAGGAGGAGGAGGAGGAGGAGGAGGAGGAGGAGGAGGAGGAGGAGGAGGAGGAGGAGGAGGAGGAGGAGGAAGAGGAGGAGGAGGAGGATGTAGAGGGGGAAGAGGAGCAGGAGGAGGAGGAGGAGGAGGAGGAGGAGGAGGAGGAGGAGGAGGAAGAGGAGGAAGAGGAGGAGGAAGAGGAGGAAGAGGAGGAGGGGGAGGAGGGGGAGGAGGAGGAGGAGGAGGAGGAGGACAACGAGGATGACTAGGAAGAGAAGTAAAAGACAGTTGGAGGAATAGTAGTAGTACCCCTATATGTGAGAGCTTGTGTGAGTGAACCAATATGTACATGTTCATGTACGTCACCTTATGACTCCCTTCTGTTTTTTTTTTTTTCGGGCAGCTCCAGAAAAATTTCAGCCTGACCGTAAACGTCAGTCCAAAACGGCGTCACCGTTCGTAAACGTAAATAAACTACGTAATCGTTCGAAATCGTAAAACACCGTAAACGTTAGATCCAACTTAGCCCATAACCCATGCAACCAACCCATAACCCATGCAACCAACCCATAACCCATGCAACCAACCCATAACCCATGCAACCAACCCATAACCCATGCAACCAACCCATAACCCATGCAACCAACCCATAACCTATGCAACCAACCATAACCCATGCAACCAACCCATAACCCATGCAACCAACCCATAACCCATGCAACCAACCCATAACCCATGCAACCAACCCATAACCCATGCAACCAACCCATAACCCATGCAACCAGGCCAAATTTTATCGACTTGCCCACACACACACACACACACACACACACACACACACACACACACACACACACACACACACACACCCACAGACACCCCCCCCGTCCCCCCCTCCCCACCCCACACACACCCCTTCCCACACTAGGCTCCCTTCCCATGCCTCCCTGGCTCTCCAGAGCCCCAATCCCGATCCCAGCTCTGCACACTTATTCAGCCACTGACTCAGAATCTCTCTCACTCACACACACCCGCCCTCTCCCCCATCGCTCCCTTTCCCCCTTACTTCCCCCTCCTCCACTCTCCTACCCTTCCCCCTCCCCCCCCCAATCTCCTCCCCCTTCTCCCCTCTCACCTCGATCGCCTCTAGCAAGTGCCCCTCCTCTTTATACAGCACTCCGCACTGCGTCAGCGCTACAGCATGCGTCGGGTTCAGCTGTAGCGCGGACACGTACGCCTCAAAAGCCGCGCTCAGCTTCCCCTGCGCCTGCAGACACTGCCCCTTCCCCACCAGCGCTTCCGCCGTTGCTGCTGCCGCGGCCCCCCCGGCGCCCGCCCCTCCCGCTCCCCCTCCCCCTCCCCCCGCGCCCGCTACCCCTCCTATCGCCCCCACGCCACTACCCGTTCCATTTCCCCTCGTCATAGTCACAGCTGCTCCTAATCTCTCCGCTATAATCGCCTCGTATATAGCGAGCGCCTCGTTTACTTTCCCACGCGACCTGAGCATAGCAGCATAGCCGAGCGGGTCCTTGACGGCACTGAGCCGCCCCGCTGCTGCTGCTGCGGCGGCGGCGACGGCGGAAGCGGAGGCGGCGGAAGCGGGGATGGCAGCAGCGGGGATCAAACCGCCCGCGCCGTTTGCGGCGGCGGCGGAAACGCCCCCCGCGACGGGGAGAGATGCGGAAACCGGCTGCGGGTATGTCGCGGCTGCAGCAGCGGCGGCGGCGGCGGCTGCGGCGGCGGCAGCGGCGGCTGCAGGGTCGAAATGAGACGAGACGAAACCGTTGGTTGGGAAGCCGGGGTGCGTGGGCATGACAGGGGCTTGCATGGGGATTAAAGCCGAGCCGGACGGGGACGCGGCGCCAGAGCCTCCTAAAGATGCGAATAGCGGGTTACCTAATGTGCTAGGATTCAACCCTGGTGCGGCGCCGCTGATGTGGAGGCTGCTGATTGGATGATGGGCACCAGGGGGGAGAAACGGGATCAGAGCCGCAGAATTGCCTGGGTAAGGAGACGCGAACGGCACGTGGCCGTGCGATAGGGAGATGGACGGCTGAGATGCGCTGACTGGCGAAAATCCTGGAATACCCGCGATTGATTTTAACGAAGCGAGCAGGTGGTTGTGCTGCACGGACGCTGCAGCTGGTGATAATAGCGCGGCGTGATTATGGAGAGAGCCGGCTGGCGGGAGCAACATCCATCCACCAGCAGCCGCCGCCGCCGCAGCAGCAGCAGCAGCAGCCGCAGCCGCAGCCGCCGCAGCCGCTGCTTGATTCCCGTCGTGCTGCTCCAGAGCGCCCGCTTCCGAGCCAAAACCGCCGTTTCCGGCGCCGGAAATTGCGCTGGGAATCGCGCCGGGAGTTGCGGTACCTGGTCCGCCGCCTCCAAGGCCGCCGCCGCCGCTGCCGTGCGGATCAGCAAGCGGCAAGCCCGGACTCATGATCCGGGAAGCGCGGAGACGCCAGCTTGACGGTCAGATAGGCCGCAAGCGATTAGGGTTTCGCATGGCTAAGAACGTCGAGGAGGAGCGTTCTGAGAGCAAACGAAGGCTGTTATTGAGGTAATTAAGGGCGTTGTGGAACGAGCCTTAGACGAAACGTGCGTCAGCGAGAGAGTTCTGACGGGTATGCTGGCGATAAGTGCGGCGACTGACGTTTAGCTAAGCGCAACAGCTGTGTTGATTCCTGGAGTGCGACGTGGTAAACACCGCGATGAGGGGACGGATTGCGATGACGAAAAGGCGAGCGGAAGCAGGCTTGACTAATCGTCCGTTCTCGGAGGCACGCACGCACAGAGGTGATCTTTGGGTCGACTCAATAATTGTCCGTTCTAGGATGCGCGCAGGCACACAGAAAGGCAGGCAGGTCGCAAGCTAGTTGCTGACGGAAAAACTTCGATGGTGAATCGGTCCAACCAAAATGCTGAAAAGTACAAATCCCGTTAGGGGAAAAAGAGGGAGGATCTAGAGGGTCTGATCACTCGGAAACGCGATCCTACCTTCCAAATTGCGTAGCACTGGAAGTGATTAAAGACACCGAAACCGGGACGGCTGGTGAATAAACACGGTAACTCACTAACCCTAACCGGCAAAAGGCTGAAGCAAGCGGCTTCTACGTTCGGGCAGCTTGGAATAACAGGTGCAGTCCAGGAATGCTAATGTGCTGAGCTGGCATCCGGCATTCGTGCTGTGCATGGAGCAAGGGGGACAGCAAAAGCGGACAGATGGGGGGAGACCAGCAACGGGTGGACAGATGCGCAGTGGAAGCTGACAGGCAGGGGGAAGTGGTGTAGATACACGCACGGAGGAGGTGGAGAAGGTGGGGGTGGTGGGGAAGGAGGAGATCTCGAGGGGTTGTTGGGCGACAAACAAAATAAAACCCGCGAAACGGCTGACGAAGATTGAATGTCAGCCTTTAGTGGCACTATCAGGTTACCATCTAGCAGGAAAAGTCGCGAAGAAATGGTTTGAGGGAGTTTCAGGAAATGAACGCTCAAGATTGTTCTTCCTGGCTAATCGAGGGCTGCATGTTGTGCTGCCTTTCCAGGTTCGAAACTTGAAGAATCGGCGGCAGAAGACGAGGTGCACCTGTACTTCTGAATAGCCCAAACAGGAAATCGACCGTTCATATCCGTCAAAAGGGGTTTTGCTCCTGTAACCTGTCCCCCGGAACTGGGAGAACCAAGAGTTTGCATACCCACATTTACGTTCGGGAAGCCGTGCGAATCAACTCCTTCCATTCGAAGTTACCATTTGGCGAGGGGATGCGACATGGACGATCCCTTTATTTTTGCTGGCGATCTGTGAATGGCTGCGTTGCCTTCGGGGCAGACCTGTCGATTGAACGGCGCCTGAAATTCTACTCGTAACAGCCACCTTCGCTATATGATTGTATGCAATCCGCATTACAGTTTAGACGGCGAGGCTGTTCCACAATCATATATACTACATCATCACCTCACTTCTCCTTCAAGCATGGTGTGTGCAATGTGCATGCATACATGTGCTTCCATGCACCCCAAATATTTTTTTAAATAAACTGGGAAACTTTCAGTTACCATCGGTATTTATATACAACCCCGACATAAGAAGACTCCCAAGGATTTGCTTTCACGTGTATATACATGCATGCACTATCGCAAATAACTCGCTGGTGCAAATTTCATTATCGTTCCTTCCCACAGCTTAGGTTCATGCAACAGGCAAGCTGTTATGTTGGACAAAAACAACGATGCGACCAGTTTAGAGTATGGTATGGTACGACATGACATGATCTCCACCAAGTGCATTTCAATGTCATAATTAAAAATGTATCCAGACCTTTGCATCTCCCATGGCTTATTGCTGATGCACGTGCCATTGTTGGAATGGTCTGTAAGGTCGGCTGGACGAAGTCTCCATGGCGGGCCAGATGAGGAACAGCCTCACATCGTGGCTTGGAACTCGAATGCTCAGTTGCATCGTGTAATATTTCGACAGGTGTTGCAGGAGACTAAATATAGAACCTGCAAACACGAACACTTGGAAAACCTCAAGTGTTAGCCTAGGATCTTTACTGGAACGGTAGACTAGTAAGACAGCGGAAGTCTTGTAAGAATGAACCTGAGTATATATTTCTACAGAAGTTAAGTTTCAAAGTTCTCAAAGTTGAAATATCAAGGTTAATAATAAAAGGACAGAACAAAGACTTATAGCTCTAGGAAATTACCTGTTCGCTAATGTACCTGTTCATCACTATCGCGCTATGCGCCCTAGATGATAATGAAGAGGTGCGACTATTCGCGTGACTGAAACGACTGTCCTATGACGAGTGCTATTTGCTGACGTCATCCTACCTATTTATCTTCTACGGTAGGATTCGACACTATCTATCGATAAACGACTTACAGAAATGCTAAGTATGAAATATATCACAACACTCTCCTTCATTTCTGGAAGTCCGATAGAGTCACGTCTTGAAGATCCCGCAAAGTTTGTTACAGTATTGAAACTTGTGTCGTGTCAGCTTCTTCGTGAGGAAATCGGCAGCCATTTCGTTGGTCGGACAATAAACCAATCGCATCCTCCCCTTCTCGACTTCATCCTTGACGAAAAAGTAACGCAGAGAAATATGTTTCGTTCTGTTGACGAAACCAGGCTGGTGTGCGATGCGAATTGCACTTTGGTTGTCGCAGTGCAGGGTAAACTGGGTAGTCGTCGTTAACTTCGCTTCTTCCAATAGTTCCTGTAAGTAATGGCCTTCACGTGTTGCTGTGCAGACAGCGATGAACTCAGCTTCAGCAGAGGAGAGAGCAATCAACTCCTGTTTGGTCGAATTCCAAGAAATAGGTCCGATAGTTTCAAGCCGATAGATGAATCCAGTGCGTGATCGTCGATTAGTAGAGTCAGCAGCGTAATCGGCGTCGACAAAACCGTGTAGGTATAATGTTTTGCAACTGATGACGTTGTAGACTAAACCGACGTTAGGTGTCGATATAAAATACTGAAGTGCGCGGAGAAGATCAAGCTGATGCTCCTCTTCAGGACGGCGTAGGAACTGAGCGAGCTGACTGGCCGCGTAAGCTAGATCGGGACGACAAGTGACAGCGGCGAAGAGTAGACAGCCTAACTGCTGTTGATAGATCTGTAAACCGGTTGAATTTAACAGTGCAGTGTTCGGTTTGTGGTCAGTCGGTAGTGAGCGGTACGGTGTAGAGACTGCAGTAGGAGTGAGGTTGAAGCGGGCAGCGAGCGTTGCTGCGTACTTTGAAGCGGTGAGATGAATAGTCGTCGGTGAACAGGTAATGTTTAGACCAAGAAACTGTGAGACTGTTTCAGAGACGGTATGCTGCAGAGTTTTCTGTAGTTTCAGAATGAAGATATCAGCAAGAGAATCGGTAGTACTGACGTAGAGGATGTCGTCGACGTAGGCGACGAGCAAAATATAGTTGTTGCCGTCGGTCAGAAGATACATTCCATGGTCATGCGGTAGCTGACGAAAACCGGCAGTGATCAGCTGTGAGTGGAGGTACTGCTGCCAGAGCCGTTTAATGCCGTATAGCGATTTTCGGAGACGGCATACGCTCGGTGGGTTAGTAGCATAGGAATGCGGGTACTCTACTAGGATGAGTGCGTCGACGGGTGCGTAGAGAAACGCATTTGACACGTTGATTTGTCGAAGTCGGAGATTACGGCAGGCGGCGACACAGGGTAAAATCCGAATGCTTGTATGTCGACCGACAAGAGCAAAAGTTAGTTCATAGTCGATGTCGTAAGTCTGCTCGAACCCGCGGACGACCCATCGCGCCTTGAATTTCTCAAACGACCCTTCTGCATTAGTCTTGACGCGGAAGACCCATTTTCCGGTAATTACCTTCTTTTCTTTTACTTCTGAAGTCGGTATTAAATCTCATGTGCCACGATTCTTGAGAGCTGCTAGCTCTATGTCCATGGCTTCACGCCATTTTTCTCGGGGAGGACTCGTAAGAGCTTGTCAAACGGTTTTCGGTTCAGGTATTTTACTGTCGTTGTGCTGTACTGCGACTGCGAATCCCAGTATCTGTAATCATGTTTCTGTAAAACGCGGACGTTCTTCGTTTGCACCTGCGAATTTTTCTTCTCGTCCTTCTTCCCCCCCAATTTCGTCAGGTGTAACACGTACTGCTTCGTCGGAGACGACGGGCATCGGCTGTTGTTGGCGATCGCGTTCATAACTGAGGTGAACTTCGCGAACATCTTGGTCAACATCTGCAAGAGGAATGAATGCATGTATGCCGGTCGAGGTGACAGGTTCGGGAATGTCTGTTGCGGCAGCTTCGGAAGCTTCAGAAACATCCTCGTCCTGCACATCAGCTTCGGCTTCGACAGTTGCAAATGCACGCGAGCCTTCAAACAGCCTGGCGGGGTTGGCAGCTGCTGCCTGGTGAGCACGAAAAACGGGCAAGGTGAGTCTTTCATAGAAGAGACAATCCCGTAATGGGACGATTTGGTTGGAGCGAATATCCAAAATCTTCCATGCGTGATACTGTTTTTCGATGCCGAGATGTACCCCCCATTTTGCTCGTTCGGAAAATTTGCCGAGTGTTGCAGTTGGAGGACGAAACTGCACGACACACCCGAAAACTTGTAAAAGTTTGGTACTTCCCACTGTACGTGTCCACTGCAGGTGTGGAGAAGAGAACTCGGGCAGGGACGTTGAAGAAAGAAGATTGTGTAACAGCACGGCGTGGTCCATCGCATACGGCCAAAAACGCGGTGGAAGGGCTGTGTCACAGGATCGAATGTCCCGAGGAAAGGTTTGCTCAATGTTGCCCTATCAATCAGTACAAGGTGCTTTTATACTTCCAGAATACATCAGGTAACCAGGTTTATCCTATCCAAAGGGAATAGACCCTTCTAGAAATAGAATCACCCTGCGTATAGCCACGCGAGGCTATTGGCTATAAGGGATTACGGCAGGATTACGCTAGATATAGCGCGCCAGTACATCCCGAGCCTGGTCGGTGATATAATCATAATAATATGATAAACCCAAGGATAATGGAAAATGAGGAATAGGAAACCAAATGAGATGAGATAAAGACCAAATGAATCAGGAGTGAAAGAGGAATGAAATAGAAATGAAATATGGAAAAGGGGAAATTGGTGTAACGGTGTCGTACTCTCACACTTCCCCCCCTCAAAGCTGGGTGGTAGACGTAACACCCTGCTTGACAAGGTAGTCGCGAAGAGGACGACGGGCGTTACCCATGTCGAATTCACAGACGAAGCCTCAGAAGTATCATAACCCTTCCAGCAAAGAAGAAGCTCCAGAGTGCCAGTCTGACGATGACGGTGTCCGAGCACGTAGTTGTCACATGGCGTGGATGAACACCGGCGGCGACGGTGGTTGGCATTTGGTGTAGAGCGTGTTTGGTCTTGATAGGGTTTAAGAAGCTGGTATGGAAGGCGGTATGGATCTTCTAAGTGGCTGGTAGGCGGAAGCGGAAGTTGACTGAAGTGGCCCTTGCTTCAACGATGATAGACCCGCAGAAGCAAGGTTGAAGCTTGGATGGAAGTTGGCTGATGTCGAGATTATGGTGTGGATGACTGTAGTGATAAGGGGTCAAGTGCTTGTGCTGATGTTGGATGTCCAAGAGGGCGCTTGTGTGGTCGATGTACAAGATGGTGGACGATGGCGATGAAATCGGAAGCCAGTTGGACTGTGGCTGGTATGGTTAGCTGTTGTGGTGTGATCGGGTGGCGTCCGTAACAGACGAAGTACAGCGTCTGTGCAGTAGCGGCGTCAGGAGCATACTTGTAGGCAAACTCCAGGACGGGCAGATGCAAGTCGGAGTTGGAGATGTGAATGGTTGGAACAGTGTGCTGTAACGTGCAGATGAGTGGCTATGTTGTCCGATCCGTGCATGCTGTTACCCGCGTCTGGTCCACGTGTGAAGATCACCAAGTGTTGGTGGTATGGCAGTCATAGTACTGCTTCTGTAGCAGTGTTGTATCCGTTACATGCAGCTTCTGTCGAATGATGGTCCATGCCGTAGTGTTGTCGCGAGTCGTACCCACTGGGCATCGGAGTGCTGCGGATTGGAAAGCAGAATCACGAGTAGTAACTCTATCCACCACGCGATCTGCTAATCACACTGCCTTGAGTACAACAGCACATGCCAAGTGCTGCTCAGCGTATCCCTTGTGTTCAGAACCATGCGAGGGGTTGGAACCATAAACGCAAAGCTGGTAACTTCCAAAATCGGCGCCAAGTAGTTTCCCTCGGTGGTTGCTCAAGCAAGGAATCTCAGCTGCGTAGATATCCCATGGTGATGGGTTAGGATATCTGGGAATATTCGGGGTATCCCCCAGTAATCCTCTCCCATTTCCAAATGAGTATTGCTGACAGCCAATCCAGTATGACCTTATGCACGTCCAGTTTAGCACGGAGGCCATCGGTAGGCATCGGTGTCTGGCGCACATATTGGGATAGGTCTTCTGGTGCCATCATGCGTTGTCTGTTGCTGTCCTTGAAGTAGCATTGATGTCGAAGATGTCTCAGCTACCCAGCATCAGTGTTGAAGTCTGCTCCATTTCGGCAAACAGGGGTGTTGTTGGAGATACGCGGAGTCCACTATCCGGAGTGGCGTCGGCGCTCCATTTCACGCCTATCTGCTTTCGTGGAGTTGGTGCTGGTGATGGATTGGTTGTGACGCAGGTTTTATGACTTTAAGGAAAGCCATAGGCCATGAGGACTTGTATACCGGTAG